TCAATGACCAATGGCATACTTCTTTATACTACAATAAGATGGCGATTGCTTTACCCATCAGGCAATTTATTAAAAATGTAATGCAGGCAGAGACCTTTTCAGCATTCTTGAATCTCAACACCATTAATAAATACCTCAATCTGGATATCAATTGGATGGTCACTATTTTCTGTATAAAAGACAACACTGCCTCTAATGCTACTAATTACGAAACCTCTACCTTACTAAAAAAGAAACTCCAAAGGGTTCTTGAAATGCTTCCTACAATGGAAACACTTAAAAAATGACATCCACTAATTTTTAATCACACACAAGTGTATTCATTGTGACACTGATGAAGAAGATTTTACTCACATTTGGACTTGTCTACTTGTGTTATATAAATCTCAACTGATCATTAAAAACACCAAAGGGCTGCTTTGTTATATTACTCATACTGATCCTTTGGACCTGCGGATCAATCAGCTCAATATTTGTCCTTGTCTTCAATATTACCACTTTCATTCGTTGATTTAATCAAAGGTTTCATCCCCTCCGCTTTAGTTACATTTGCGTCATCGTCTCTGACTACTAAAGATGCTACCAATGCAGCACTATCTACATTTATACATTTCATATATGAACAATCACAAGTAATATGGATTGAACAGTGTTCAATACTCAAAGAATATGAATCGGTCAATGGTATAATGAATGCCTTGAAAAAATCTAATATTATTAGTTCAGGATATAGATTTACATCTTTTAATCCCACTGTAGATGCTTCATCTTTGATTAATAATATGATTCATCAGGAAACACAATGGATAAATTTTTGGTGCAGTAGGGGCCAAGCTCTTTCCTTTTTCTGATTACTGGAATGTAATAACATGGTTCTGATTGTGTTAGATTCTAAGGAAGTGTAAGGTCAGTCTTGATTTAGATAGTTTCATGATTATTTAGATAGAGATTTTCGTTAATTCTGAATATATGTAATTTTTATTATTATTTTTCAATAAAGTTTTTGCAAAACTACCGCACTTAAAAAAAAAATAAATAAAATAAAATTTATATTGTTGCTCGAGTGCCCTCGTAAAGCACTCATCAAATTATTTAATCAACGACTCTCTAAGATATTAGTACAACATAATATTTTAAAAGGACTGAACTTCGCTGGTCTTCCATTCAAATTCACATTTAAACTATTACATATCATTGACAATATTAAATACGATACAGCTCATAATAAGAAGGACCTTTGTATATTATTACAAGATATGTCTAAAGCATATGATTGTGTCAACATTTTCATGCTTATTAGAGCTTTAGAAAGACTATATATCCTATTCAACTTTTTTAGGTTTATTCTAAAAATTTTTGGTAACTGTCATAATCAAGTATTCACCTCTTTTGGCAACACTAACTCATATTAGATCATGTCAGGTATAATCCAAGGAGAAATTATATCACCACTTCTGTGGTGTATATATTATGATCCTCTTTTGTGTAGAATCCAAAACTCTTTACACAGCTACTCGCTATCACACACTTGGAAATTAAATATATTGTTTAACAATACTGAATCAACAACCGTAAAAGTGTCGACACTTGCATATATGGACGATACACTGTGGATCGCAAGATCTTATGAAGACCTCACTGATATCATTGAAATTGCAGAAAATTTCTACAAATTAAACCACATCAAAGTCAACTGGAAAAAGTCAGTTTTGTTAACTAATAAAATTAAAAATAGACAACCTTTCACATGTGTTACAAATGGCTGTCTTACCAATATTGACCTACTCCCATTTAATGAGTCAACTAGATACCTGGATGCTTGGATCTCATTAGGACATAATAAAACTTTCACTATTAAAATGCTGAAAAACGATATTAAAATGCTACAACTGTCATGTTCAAAAAGAAAATGACTGACAAACAAATGGTATATATTTTCAACACTGTCTTCACTCCAAGATTTGAGTATCGTATCCAATAGACTGCCCTGACAATTGCGTAATGTGATTTGATTGACTCCTCATACCGTGCCTTTATGAAAAAGAAGTTGCACTTTTCACGTGACTCACTGTCTTCTATGTTTCATTCAAGTCAGTTTATAATCTCATTAGACTGTATCATAGATTACTTATAGTACAGAGTAAAGCGTTCCTCTTTTCGCTCAATGATAGTAATCTCCTAAGAGTTTTTACACGTTTTCGTATCAAACAATTATAACAAAAAGAATGGCTTCATATATCACCACTCTTCAATTAGCTGTATTCTCGCTACCTAAATTTGAATGATTGGATAGCAAACCTATTATATAATTGGAAAGGCATTTGAATTTCAGCTAAACTGCCTGATGCAGACTCAGGTCTAATTAAAGGAGGAAATACACCATATTTTCTTTAATTTCTGATGATTTTAGATCCATTATTGCAAATCTTAGAAAATACTCCCTCTTATTCGTTGAACAACTCATTTTCTCAAAAGGTGATATTATGTTGACATTTGGTGATTTAAACGTTCAACAGGACTTGTCTCTAACTGAACGTATACCTCGCTGGTTTAAATTTCTCCAAAACAACTTTTACTTAATAGCAATTCTAGAGTCACCAATACTTCTTATCTGCATTCAAATAATTGTAACTACAATTTTTCTCCACCAAATAAGATTGCTGGCCTTACAACTTTCATCTTAGGATAGAATTATAGTCACAATACACCTTTGTCAGTAAATTACTTAAAACAGAAGAACATTATTCGCATATTTTTCATATGTTACCCACAAATGGACCTGAGAGTAGGATGATATTTTCTGATTGTAATTGCTGCTCTATGTATTACAGACATGCCTATATTTCACACTATACTACCTACAAAGATCAAAAATGTTTTTTCATTATTTCTATCAATCTTTGTTTCAAGATTCCTATGAATCATAATACTTGTACTTCAACATATGGTTGCTCTTAGTCCATTAATCTACTGAATGAGTTAGCTTATTCATTTATTAAACTTTGTAGCATTTCATAATCCTCGACACCTGCATTAGATTTTTAATAAATTGCCTGATGGGTAAAGCAATCGCCATCTTATTGTAGTATAAAGAAGTATGCCATTGGTCATTGA